GGAAGTGGCTCCATGGTTAACCGTGGAACTATGAAACAGAAGGTCATGGTTCAATTCTCAGTCGTGACACATGCCAGAGTTGCAAGCTCCATCCCCAGTAGAGGACATCAGTGTGGGCATGCAGGAGGCAGCTGATCAATGGTTCTCTCTCATCATTATGTTTCTATTACTCTCTCCTTTTCCCTTCCTCTCTCAAATCAAATATATACATACTAGAGGCTTGGTGCATGAAATTCATGCACTGGAGGGAGTGTCCCTCAACCCAGCCTGCAGCCTCTCCAATCTGGGTCCCCTCAGGGGATATCAAACTGTCTGTTTAGGTCTGATCAGGCAGTCGGACATCCTTCTCACAATCTGGGACTGCTGGCTCCTAACCGCTTGCCTGCCTGCCTGATTGCCCCTAACTGCTTTTGCCTTCCAGCCTGATCACCCCCCAACTGCCCTCCCCTGCAGGCCTGGTCCCCCCTCCCCCCCAACTGCCCTCCCCTGCTGGCCATCTTGTGACAACATGGGGGCAGGAATCTTGTGGCAGCCATCTTGTGACAACATGAGGGTGGCCATCTTGTAGTGGCCATCTTGTGATTATGTGTGGTGGCCATCTTGTGACAATGTGGGAGAGGCCATTTTGTGATGATGTGAGGGTGTGAGGGTCAATTATATAGGATACCAGTATAGAAAAAAAGTAGCAGTGGGAGCTCTCAATTCCTGGAGAGAGAAGCACTTACCCCACTCAGGTCCAGGCAGCAAGTGTGGTAGAGAAGTCAGTGATTATAGTCTAAGACTAGTGTCCCCAACAGGAACTATGTATATGCTCCTGACCCCCAGTGGCATGGAGGCGCCTTTTATGTCTATACCCTAGTTGGGGAAGTGACAAAAAGTGTGTCTCAGACACTTTGCCCCAGGCCACCAGCACTCACCCTGGCCAAGCAGCTGTAAGGGTCACTCTCGGGTTACCTGTGGTGGGGACTCTATGATCAGGAGAGGAAGGACAGTGATGAAATGGAAAACCTTTCCAGTCGTGAAGCAGACAGGCTTCGAGGAATGAGAAGGTTCCCAACACACTGAAGATGGTTTTTCCAGAATTCTTTTCTCTGCCCTTCCTGTAAAGGAGTCCACTTTGTTGCTTTCCCTACTCTTACGTGCTACCCCTTTCTTCCCTTTTTAAAAAAAATTTTTTATTGATTTCAGAGGGGAAGGAAGTGTGAGAGAGAGAGAGATAAAAACATCAATGATGAGAAGGAATTGATTGGCTGCCTCCTGCATGCCCCACACTGGAGATTGAACCCGCAACCCAGTGCTCCGACCGGGAATGGAACCGTGACCTCCTTGTTCATAGATTGATGCTCAACCACTCAACCACGCTGGCTGGGCATCTTTCTTCCCTCTTATCTCCACCTCGTGAAGTCTTCCCAGACTTCTGTTACTACCTTCTAAATTTCTGTGTTGATTGACTCTGCACTCTGTGAGTGAGTGAGTGTGTGTGTGTGTGTGTGTGTGTGTGTGTGTGATCCAAAAAGAGAAAGCATTTGGTGTGGCATCCATTGACCAATGTAAGAGCTCCCATTGGTCCTTGGGCATGGATCTCTGGTTCAATCAGTTTGTGGCCAACGTGGCAGGGTCACAGGATGCAATGAGGAATCAGGTGGACTCTGCCAGGAAGGCCTTTTCAGGACAGCCAGAGCTAAGGATAAACGCTGGTTCCTGGCAGCCCAGGGCTTCCATGATAGGGCACAGCTACCCAGGAAAGTGGTTATCTAAAGTAAAGAAAGATAAGGCTGTACTTGGCCTCCAAAGAGAAAGAGAAGTGCCCATTCCCAGGGCTAGGCCAGGGCTGAGAAGAAGGCATGGGCATCCAATGGGTTTCTCCTGCAGGGCTATGAGGCTCCTGAGACCCAACCCTACATGTAGGAATCCTATATAATAAAGAGGTAATATGCAAATTGACCATCACTCTAACACACAAGATGGCTGCCCCCATGTGGACACAAGATGGCTGGCAGGGGAGAGCAATTAGGGGTGATCAGGCCAGCAGGCAGAAGCGGTTAGGGGCAATCAGGTAGGGAGGCAGGTGAACAATTGGAAGCCAGCAGTCCTAGATTGTGAGAGGGATGTCTGACTGCCTGGTGAGATCGGGCTTAAACGGGCAGTTGGACATCCCTCAAGGGGTCCCAGATTGGAGAGGGTGCAGGTTGAGCTGAGGGACATACCCCTCCTTCCCCACCGCACCCCATACATGAATTTCGTGCACTGGGCCTTTAGTATTTAATAAGTCTTATGCCCACCATATGGCCACAAGGGATAATTTATTGTGTCTTTGGGTTTCCAATGGCTCCAAATGCACGGATAGTCAACAAGAAGGGACCACATTTGCATCAAGGGTCTATTGTAGCAGCCTTTTAAGAAAAGTTCTATTTTTACATTATATACCTATACATTCATTTTGTATTTATATATTATACACATTATATATATATAACATATTACTTAATATATAACATATATTATTTATTACATACTAGAGGCCCAATGCACAAAATTCATGCATGAGATTGGGGAAAAGGTTATCCCTCAGTCCAGCCTGCACCCTCTCTAATCTGAGACCCTTCGAGGGATGTCCGACTGCCTGTGGCATTGGGCCTAAATGCACAGTTGGACATCCCTCTCACAATCCAGGACTGCTGGCTCCCAACTGCTTGCCTGCCTGCCTTCCTGATTGCCCCTAACTGCTTCTGCCTGCCAGCCTGATCATCCCCTAACCACTCCCATGCCAACCTGATTGATGTCTAACTGCTCCCCTGACAGCCCATTTGCCCCCAACTTCCCTCCTCTGCTGGCCTGAAGACCCCTAACTTCCCTCCCCTGTAGGATTGATCACCTTCAACTGCCCTCCCTTGAAGGCCTGGTCCCTCCCAACAGCCTTCCCCTGCTGGCCATCTTGTGGTGGCTATCTTGTGTCCACATAGGGGCAGGATCTTTGACCACCTGGGAGCAGCCATATTGTATGTTGGAGTATTGGTCAATCTGCATATTAGTCTTTTATTAGATACGAGAGAGGCCTGGTGCATGAGTGGGGGCCAGCTGGTTTGCCCTGAAGGATGTCCTGGATCAGGGTGGAGGTTCCCTTGGGGTGGCCTGAGCGAGGGGCCTGTGGTGGTTTGTAGGCCATCCATGTCCCCTCAGCAACCCAAGTGGAGGCCCTGGTATCTGGGATATATTTACCATCTACAATTGAAACTTTGTAGCCCTGGAGCAGAGCCAAGCTTCCTGGTCGCTCTGTGGCAGCAGCTGTTTCTGTTTGGATTTGTTTACCTTCTATAATTGAAACTCTGTAGCTTGAGTGGAGGCTTAGCTGGGTAGGGCAGGCGGAAAGCTTGGCTTGACTCCATTTCGGGGGAAATGCCTCCCTCCTGCTCTCTGTGGCTGTAGCCATCTTGGTTGGGTTTATTTGCATACTCACTCTGATTGGCTTGTGGATGCGGCTTTTGAGGTGGCTTTTGGAGCAGAGTGATGGTTAATTTGCATATTATTGTTTAATTAGGTAGGATTATATATCATATACTATAATTACACATTATATGGTATAATATATATGATGTACTCAAACTTATTCATAACAGAATAGAGAATACTCATAATCATCAAATACATGTTTTTGCAGTTGTTCACCTTTTCATAGCTGGTATTTATAGCTACCATCTTCCATTACCCATTTCATATTCCCTTTGTTCTTATCAAGCACCTCAGCAGTTTGTGTTTCTTTGCCTGATTGTTTTATTTGTAGTTTTCCACTGACATTAATCATAGGGCATGGTAATATTAAAAAACATGCTAAAGAATTTCCTGAATTCCAGACATCGTCTTCCTAACCTCCATTGCAGAGTAGCAGAAGGAAGCCTGAGTCCAAGTAACACCAAGGCTATAAAGACAGTGCCTGCTTTGGATATAAAGATGAATAAAACTCAAGGGGGGAAAAAAACCTCTGGGAAAAACAATTAAGTCTTTTCCCACCCCCCACTCCCACCCCACCCCCACTTTTCTCTGCACTGAATCCAGTTAGACAGTTCTAGCAGAGGCTGCCCAACAAGCAGCCCAAAGCATCGCAGGCATGAAGCAGGCTGTGCTGTCCCACTATGGGTATGTTTGAATAGACTGCATGTCTACACAGACACCACAGCTGAAGATACCCAAAGGCTAAAAATTAAACTTACACTAACGCCACCCATTCCCACATTTTTGGTGTGAACCTCACATCCTCAGTCATTCTCTGGAATGCTTTCTCTAAAGATTATAATAATGATAATATTAAATAATGATAATATCAACATGCTTGATCAGGTAAGTAGACAAATAAATCCCAACAACTAGTAGCTGATTGTTAGATCAATGAGGCTGAAAACAGTGTCTCTTGATGTTGTAATCTCCCAAATGGTATACCAATCTTCATGAACTCAATTGAAACACATATAAATCTAAAAAAAAAAATGAGGAAAAGCCTGGTATTTTATTATATGCAACTCTAAATTACTATGCAACAAAGGACAGAAATAATACAGACCTAGAAGTAGATATCTTATTTTAGAACATAAATATAAAAGCTATTTACTAAAACACTATTTTGGAATCTACTGGAATATTACACAAAAAGGACAATTTATTCTGACCGGTGGGTTTTACTCTGTGACTGAGGGCAAAGCACTAAATAACCCCATGACTTTGATAACTCTCTGTTGATTTTAAAATACAAGTATATAACACACTCAGCAAAGGAAAATGAGAGTACAACATGAAAAGGAAAAATCTTTCTCTCTTCACCTGAAACCAAATATCTCTCCTCAAAGAGATGACTGTCTATATATCCTATGTCACATGAAGAAAAAGGAACGCATTGGTATATTTTAAAGTTTTAAAAGCTCAAAGCAAGAAAACATTAGGGACTCTGCAAAGAGACATTAATAACGTGTTGTACTCCATCCCATCTGCACCATCTTCTCTTTTCCCCCCTAGTGTTTTTCAGGATGTTCTTTTTGGTCCCTCACTTTTTCTGTCTCACTAGCGAGTCTGTCTGCAATCAACGCTCTCGCCAGTCTCTCTCTTGCCATCTTCATTTTCCTTTCCTGTTTCTTGATATCTTTCTCTGTTACCAGAAATTGTTTGCAGGGGAGCTGTGGGACACCCTGACGAGCTCCTGGAATAATCTCTGCCACACGTGCAATGCCGGCAGCACTGGACATGGAGCTGCCGTGAGGACCACCTGTGAGAACACCAGGCCGGGACTCACCTGTGCAACTAGGCACAAGTGTTTGCAGGGCTTTGGTAAGATCAAAAGGACTTAAGAGTTGTCCTGCGCTGCTGCAGGCCTGGAGTCCTTGAAGTCTCTTCTGCCAGCACACTTGTTGGGGCTTGTCCAAGGTTTCCTCCCATTGATGGTATCTGACCTCATTGCCTGGGTGGGATGTGATTCTCGTAACTGGACTCTTGAATATGTTACTGGACATCCTCAGTGGGATGGAGATGCTTAAATCAGGCTTTGGTTTGGATTGGTTTACCCAATCATGACACTTCCTCTGTGAAGTCTTGACCATCGTATCTCTTTCCCATTTACTCTATAAAAAGAAATATTGAAATTGGATCTACACGATAAATGAAGCTTGCCTTCTTAGGACAATTACTTCCACTCTCTTGTACTTCCATCCTCCCTCTGGGGATAGATCTGACCTGCATCCTGGGAAATCATCAAGCAGATTTGTCAAAAACAGAAAGCTCAAGGTCAAAACCCAGAAGCTAGTCCAGATCATTGATCCTCCAACACCTTTTGACCCTCTCCTTTATGAATATGATTTTATTCTTTTTTTGTCTTTGTCACTCTCACTACACGTGATTTAGTCTTGGTACTCTCTCATGATACACAGTACCCAATCTTTTTCTAAGTCCAAATTCCTACCATTCTTTTGTATTATGTGAATATTTATTTGGTTAACCCATTAACCACTTGGATTTCAGAGCTAAAATCATTAGTGATATCACCAAGCAACCCACTTTTAGTGACTCACTCTCATATCCTAGAAATTTGGTCATGTTCAAAAATAAATAATTCAGAAAACATATTCATCCACTACAAATGTCTGATTTCTAATATTTTTAAACACATACAATAGATACCCATTCTTTAAGATTGCAAGTTATGCCAGATCACCAGATTCTTAATTTCCCCATTTCATATCTATTAGAAGGCATGGTTCTTTGGAAAAAACAATAATTTTGAGAAAAATAGAAGGCAGCAAAAAAAGAGGAATAATAAATAGGAGATGGATTGACTCCATAACAGAAGCTATAGGCATGCATCTGCAGGAGCTGGAGAGAGCTGTTGAGGACAGAATAGGGCTGTTGGACATAACTCATTCATAGGGTTGCTGGGAGTCGGAGCTGACTCAATGGCACATAACACACACATTCCTATTAATCCTGGATTCCATGGATTATGATCTCAATAATTCCCTGGAATAATCCAAAATTCTTTATCACTCATCATGTCTACCTTGTATAAAACTTCAAATTTAAAGATCTGATTATCTTCCCTGCTATAGCTACTGCTGGTCTTAAGATAATTGCATAATATTTGCATACCACTGTAAATACAAAATCACCTACTTTTGTTGTGAAACACCCATAATGCCTGAAACTTTTACTATCTTTTTATGTGTTGACATATTTACTCCTCAATTTTTCCTAAAAACTGTTTCAAATTTTCTCAACTTTTTTCCTTTATATATATTTGATATCCCTTAATTTGTCTTCTATTTCACAGAAAACTTGTAAAATACTACTAAATTGAAATTTTACCTATGTAGTTGCCAAATCAGCAAATATCTCTGATAAACTTCCATTGCTTCCCAGTTTGCTCTAATAATATATAAACAAATTTCTTTTATTCTCCAATGGTGATCTGGATCTCATCTCTTCTTCCTTCTTACTAAGCTCTTCCCACCAACATTTCCATATTTCCCCTGTACTTATTTTTGTTGTTGTTAATCCTCACCTGAAGATATTTTTCCATTGATTTTTTTTTTTTCAGAGAATGGAAGAGATGGAGAGAAACGGTGAGAGAGAAACATCAACTGGTTGTCTCCCGCATGCACCCTGACCAGGGCTGGGGATCGAGCCTGCAACCAAAGATAGGTGCCCTTGACCAGAATCAAACCCGGGACCCTTCAGTCTGAGGGCTGTTGCTCTATCCCCTGAGCCAAACGACTAGGGTGCCCCCTGTACTTTTAATCTTTTATGAACTGAATCACCCCCTCAGCATTTACATAACTGCAGGTCTTTCCTTACTACATGGAAATTTCTCACCTGATCGCTCTGGACTCCTCTTTAACTACTGCTCTTCCTACTCCCACCCCTTCATTGTGAACCATTGAGAAAGGTCATCTGCAGCATGTGTCTCTGTGGCCTCACCTTCACCCACCTCCTCAGATTAGCCTCGGCCGCACTGCCACCTGCCCTTACCATTCTAGGCTAAGGTCACAATGACTCCTTTGTTACTAAACCCAACAGGAACTTTTCATTGTTCATCTGACATGATCTTTAAGTGGGAAACTTTTAAATATACTTGGATAACTTATTTATGTGAATATTATTTGATGGCTGTGAATCTTATAAAATCTAAAGCAAGAGTTTGTTATAAATGGAATGTATGACCTGGACTTCTGGACTCAGTACAAAAAATGTAAATGAACTTAATGTTTATACTGATGACATTTAGAAATCATAATAGCTTGATTCTACTGTGTGAAAATATACAACTAAATTACTTTCACCTGTTTTGACTTTATTTAATGTGGTTACTAAAAATTATATTTCATAATATGTAGATTGCTTAATCTTACTATTGGACAGAGCTGGTCAGGCCATGAGGGAAAATAAAGCCCACAGAATGTGGTCAGGAAAATTTTCTCAAGGTAAGAAGTATACCCTGGCCCCCACTGCAAGATGCAAACTTTCTCTCTCTCTCTCACATACACACACACACGTACACTAACAAAACCAAACCAGTGTTGTCCCAGAGTGCCACCACCACTCAAATGCCATGAGGTTGCATTCCTACATAGTCCTATCTGGACTAATCTCAAGTGAGAAGTCAGAAGTCAGTTAGGAAGATCCAAAACCAGACTAAGAGTCAAGATTTTTATTAATTCCCCTTTCTTTGGCTTCTATTAAACATTCAATATGTTTGAAAAACTTTTTCAGGGAGGGTTGTTTTAAAAATCCCTTTACCGCCAAAACCAGTTTGGCTCAGTGGATAGAATGTCGGTCTGCGGACTGGAAGGTCCCAGGTTCGATTCCAGTCAAGGGCATGTACATTGGTTGTGGGCACATCCCTGATGTGGGGTGTGCAGGAGGGAGCTGGTCTATGTCTCTCTTTCATCGATGTTTCTAGCTCTCTATCTCTCTCCTCTCCCTTCCTCTCTGTAAAAAATCAATAAAATATATTTAAAAAAATAAAAATCCCTTTACCTTTAATATGTGTAAATATCTAAGATATGTAAAGAATAATTACTCTAGCCAATAAATGTGAAGGAGATGATAGAATATGACTATCATTGTCTACGGCCATACCACCCTGAACGCACCCGATCTCGTCTGATCTCGGAAGCTAAGCAGGGTCGGGCCTGGTTAGTACTTGGATGGGAGAATATGACTATCATTATTACTAACTCACTATTGGATTAGTGAGCCAGTCAGGGGACAGATGACACTAGATTGATTTAGACTTCAGTAAGCTGATTCTGATTAGAGTACTATTACATTGATTGCTCTACGTTGGGAACTCTGGAACTGTCAGCCCCATCTACTGTTTAATTACCAAAGTCCACCAGACAGGTAAGTCTCCTGGCTCCACTCCTCTGAAAACACCTGGAGGGGTTTCCAAAATCCCACTTTGTCATGACACCCTTCTACCTGCCACAGGCCAGGAAAACATTTTCTGTGGTGCCCATTTCTGGGGGTGACACATGGGTAAAGGAAAGATCAGAGTGAAGACCTAGTGAATTGCAGGAATTAGCACAAAAACGGGTTTGCTGACAGAGAAGAGAACCTTTAGCTATCAGGGTACACAAAGCCCTAGGGGTCACTACATAGTATTGAGGAAGAAGGTGCAGGACAGATCAGGTACTTTTGAGTGTGATTGTGCTTGGTGATGCCTGTAGCATGACATGGGTGATACTGATAATGCATTCAACAATGTTGTTCAGTGATTTATTCACTTTATGTTATGGAGTGCTTTCAACATACATTCAGGTACTAGTACCCACCCTTTGGAGTTGATAGTGTCAGAAAATGTTTTACATTTTCTTTATAAACTATACATATGTAAAGCCAGCGATTGGAACACTGGAACGAACAGAATGACTGGTCCCTATGATGCCCATTGCAGCTGGCCAACTGGCCTGGTCAAGGGCAGGGCCAGCTGGATAACTGCCTGTGACCCCTCTCCCCAGCTAGCCCCACCCCTGATCGCCCCCCCCCCCCACCCTGGGGACAGGGCTGGCTGACCTCCCAGCCTGATTGGCCCCCATTTGGGCGGACCCTCCAAACCCCACTTGTGCACAAATTTGTGCACCAGGCCTCTAGTAAGTAGATAAAGCACATGCGGGAGTAGTGAGCCAGCAGACAGAAAGGAGATTTCCTTTGTTGGCTAGTATGTAAACAAATTTTCTTTGAAAAATGTTTTCTCTACTTGAAATATTCAAGTCTCCTATGATTATTGTTATTCTCAAATTCATATATTCTCTAAACAGTTTATGCTTTATATTAGTGTAACACTATTTTATGTGGTATGTGAAAACTGATTACTATTATATTTTCTTGATTATTTTCTCTTATATCAATAGATGATAAATCTCTTTTTAAAAAAATACATTTTATTGATTTTTTACAGAGAGGAAGGGAGAGGTATAGAGAGTTAGAAAATTGATCAGCTGCCTCCTGCACATTCCCCACTGGGGATGTGCCCTCAACCAAGGTACATGCCCTTGACTGGAATTGAACCTGGGACTCTTCAATCCGCAGGCCAACACTCTATCTACTGAGCCAAACCGGTTAGGGCGATGGTAAACCTCTTTTTCTTAGTTAGTCTTTTTGCCTTGAATTCTATATTAATAATTCTAGTGATAGCCCTATTTTGCTTTGTTGAGATCAGTCTGCTATAGTTGTGTTTCTCTATTATCTACTTTTCTTTTGTGTATGAAGTTATTTTGTGGGGAAGAGAATTTTTCTAGATTTCTCTTCTTTTTCTCTTGTTCTTGGGACTTTCAATTAGTTCTAGGTTTTCAATTGACCTGCCTTGTGTAAAAGTTTGTTTTTCTCTATTTGCATTGGCTGAGGCCAAGCATCTGCCTCCGTGTGACCCTGGCACCACCATCAAAGCGAATGCAGACTGATAGAGTGATTTCTTCAGTCAATTATTTTGACCTTTTATCAGGATTTTGCGCATTTGTCCCACACGCTTACACCTGCCAAGTCTGTTAAACACACAGGTGCATGCACGCATATGCAAATGTCTCAGATTCTAGAAGCTTTTCACCCA